GAAATCTCCTGCCGCTATTCTGTCTCTCAGTTGTCTGCATTCGACGGAAGATTCGATCGGGGCGCAGTTTGGATTTTCGCTAAGCCATATGCAATGTGTCTTTGCAGTTTGCACTTAACCATTTTTCATAACAGTTGATAACATATGTCTGACTTGTAAACAACTGTATTTACAAGTTACTTGATGCAAACACAAATATGATGATCACTTGATGTTATGTCGGAGGGTATCTGTCACATTTCGCAAATAGCGTCAACGCTCAACACCTTTCCCATCTCTGTCCTTATTTTAGTCTCCTTCATGGCCCTATTTGCTGCGGCTGACACGAAACGTAGCTTATGGACACCTCCAAACGTCACCGGTTTTACTCCACTATCAAGCCATCTCAGTCATCCTCTTCATCACGATCTTCGTCGTCATCTCTCTGACTATCCAGATCGTCCTGATCGGGCTCCTCGTCGGCGGGTCGCTCTTTGGCCTCTCGCTCTGCCAGCAGTCGCTCCTCCTCCCGCTGTGGGTACAGCTCTGCCGCCTCCTGGCGCTCCTCCTCGACGGGGTCTTTGTCGATCCTCTGCAGCCGCCGGCCGTACACCAGCGCGTCCACGCTGTCGACAGATGCGCACAGATCGTCTCGTTACACAATAAAACGGGTGTGGCGACACGCATAGACAACGTGGAAAGATACGGATGCTAGTGGTCGGGTTTTCGTTTCGGTTTTTAGGTAAGATGTAAGGTTGAAATGTTTTGACCACCTGCTTACTTCTTCAGACGTCGTTAACGACCGTTAACAACCGTCGGTGATCTTAACTCAAGAGGGGACGAAAGTCTGTCTACTAACCTCTGTAATACTAACACCTGGTAATAAAGCAATCCGATTTCTGAATAATTCGGAGAGCTCTTTGTGCCACACCGCAAGCATGATGATGTGGTGGAAGCAGTGGGAGCAGGACCTACGATACTGCAACATACTGAAATTGTGTTTGGTACGAAGGCGAACAGTTCCGCTGTGGTGGCCTGACTAACCGGTACGAGTCAGAGTCGGAGACAGCGTTGTCGGCGATCACCAGCGTGGTCAACTTCTTCATGCGACTGAGGTGGTACGCCTCCTCCACCTCTTCCAGGTTGTTGCTGCGGACGTTCAGGTACTCGAGCGTCTCGTGGTCCTCCTCCAGACCCTTCAGCGAGCTGATGCGGTTGTCTCTCAGGTGCAGACGACTCAGAGAGGTCAGCCGGCTCACCCCGGAGAGGTTGCGCAGCTTGTTTCCCGCCGCGTACAGTGTCTTCAGGGTGCGGTGCTCCAGGCCGTCCAGCTTCTTCAGCGCGTTGTTGGTGATGTTGAGGTGGATGAGGTTAGGAAGGTTCTCCGTAGTCATGTCCTCAAGATCCTCAAGCTGAGTTTTGGATAGGATGAGCTTCTCGAGAGAATGCTGTTTAATGCCTTTTGTACTTTTGAGAGGGTTACCGGTGAGGTCGAGAAACTGAAGGAACGGGAAGTTGGACATCTGGGTGATGTGAGCTTATTGTTCGTCACCTTCAATGACACGAGGAATCTCATGTTCTGAAGAGGGAAGAGCGAGGTGAGCTTGTTGAACGACAAGTCGACGTACCGTAGGTGAATATACGTTGACAAAATAAACACATTAGTCAGTTCACGGTTCTGGACGACCAGTTTCGTACGCCACTTCTAGTCCATCGCCTGTCTTGCACAACATCGATATTCCTCCTTTGATCATTTCTGCAGTCAGAGGGTTTCTTGAGGCAGCACTTTCGGCTCTGGTTTCTTCTCGCCATCCCCAGCTTCGAAGCCGCCGCTGCCGTCGCTTCCCTTCTCTCCGGCATCTGGCTCTTCCTCGGGGCCTTCTTCATTGTTTTCTTCTTCACGCCTAGCTCAGTATCGAGATCGTCGTCTAACTCCGGATCTTCATCTGATTCAGACATGGCTGGTTTTGTGAACGGTTAGATATAGGCAAACTACAGGTGCTTGTGGGAAACTATGGGATGCTAATCTTACACGAAGATCCACTTTCTATTGATGTCTAAAAAAGCTACGATCTTGTCTGATGCAAACTGATCTAAAACACTTGTCCATTCGCAGCTCAGTTAAAAAATAACACAGTGAAAGGGCTGTTTTTTTTTTGTTCTGGCTTTGATGAGATGAAATAAATATGTTTTAGGGCCTTGAGATGAACGGCAATATTCCCAATTTAAAGCGAAAACAAAGGCCTGTAAAAATTACTCATACGAGCATCACGTGCTCCAAAACCTAACGCATCCCTCGCTGAACAGTGAACAATGTTCACTGAACATGATGAACGGTCGTATGTAATCCATTCATATCAGGGCGGAGCTTCCTATACAGTTGGTGGGGGGCTGCCCCACCAACTTGGTATTTTGCCCCACCAATAAGCGTTTTGCCCCACCAACTTTAGCTGATCTCTAAGACTTTGTTGCTTTGCAAATTAATCTTTTTCGCATTGAAGAGGTTTGGAATGTCTGTTTAATGCAAAATATTGTCTAATGATAGGAGTTGATTCAGTGTGGCATTTCATTCAACTTTATAATCGGACATTGTGGGTTTGACGACTTTTTGCCCCACCAACTTCCCCGGAAAAGCTCCACCTATGATCCATATCATGTAAGGTGGCATGTCCACATGCTTGAACATTATTTATTGTAGCGAATATATAGTCTTATGATCCTTCCAAATGTACAATTAATTGATCAATTAACCGTCTCATGGGGTGAAAGACTTTCTGGAAGGCCGTGTGCGATTAAACGTGAATAGCGATGAGTATCGACATGAGACTGTGTTTCGCCTTGATTGCATTTTGACGGTACCTTTTTGTGTCTTTCAGGCTAGGTCAAACAATTGAAGATGAGTGCCCAAACGATGCAGAAAGGAACTTTTCATCGGTAAGTTCCTTTTTTACCAAGTTTTCTTGCCGTCTCTTTTTCTTGCGCCATATTTTAACTTGCGGCCTTTTTTATGACGTCATGTTCTGCCGTTTACCATAAGAATGCGACATACAACAAGTCAAGCGAAAGTATTTTATCTTTTTCTTTTGTGACGTGCTGCGAACCACACTGCGAACTAGCCAATTTAATTGTCATTGTCTTAACCCGCGCCCCACTGGGGTCTGCGTGTACACGCCCTACTGGGGGGGGGGGGGCTCTCCTAACTCAGAAACTACTGGGCCGATCGTCAAAATTCAAACGGCGTCTAGTGATAGCCCCGGAAAAATTGTCGAGCGAAACCTAATTTCATTGACCTCGAGGTCACCGATGACGTCACAGGTCAGGTCAAAGTAAAAATTATTAGCATTTTGGCTTGTTCACATTTTGGGCTCTGGCCGCCGTCTTACAAGTCAGATCAGGCTCATTTTTGGTTTACACACTCGTGAACAGATGCTCTAGATACCTTAAGGGTACCAAACTTGTACTTTGATTTTCAGGTCAGGGTCAGGTCATCACAGGTCACGGAAATATTATATCATGCATCGGTCACTTGACACATGTTTTATGTCCATTTAGGCCATAGATTTCGAATTTGATGTCGTCTGTGTCATCCGAGGTCATTTTGAGTCGAATTTAGCTTAGGTCAGGTCACTTTCAGGTCAAAAAGGTCAAATTTTGAAGTTTAAATTTTTCAACAAAAAAGGTGTCTATTGGATGCAGTTTGAGTTCAGGAACACGATGGTGCTATTTAATTGGTGTACGATGTCAAATACGTACTGAAAAATTGATTTGAAAAATTAATAATTGTGATTTTTTTGCAATAATGCGTATAACTTGGCCATTTTTGAAGATATTTAGCTAAAACTTGCTAGAGTTAGTCATAAGCATGCATTCTGTCACATATATTCCGGCTTTTTCGAAAACTCAACGTTTTGAAAAAAAAATATAAAAATATAAATTTCGAAATTTATTATATAAAATTTTCGAAATTTTCAAAATTTTGAAAATCCGAGATAGCAGTTTGATAGAGCATCAACTCTAAGTCCTTTCATGCAAAGAAATTGGATCTAGCTTAAAACTGAGCTCTTGAGAGCGATTGCCGTGGTTCAATGTTTTGCGTCGAAATCGGCCGAACATGACGTCACTCTGACGTCATTTCCGGCCGACCTATGGTAGCTACGAAGTTTAAATTTTGACACAAGGTTTCAAATTGATGCAGCCGAAGGTACTGAAAGTTTGGCGTTGATACGTCAAGTGGTTTGGAAGTTATTGCAGAAAAACGGAAGGGGGGCTATGAATAGCCCCCCCCCCCCAGTGGGGCGCGGGTTAATTCTTACCGTGAACATTAGGAATGCCTGCTGAGTGCATTTATTGGTCATTACGTTTGTGTCATTGTTTTTTTTTTCAGGACAGTGATGTACACGTCACACGTGAGGACCAAAGCAAGATCAACAAGTTTGCGAGACTCAACGCCAAACTGCAGGACCTTCAGGATGAAATCAAAGACAAAGAGGTGTGAAAAGTCGTCTAGCCAGGCTTATTAGACTATAATATAGGATGCCTATTTGCCTGTTATCCCGGCATATTGGATAGCTCTTGTTAAAGATGCCGCCTGTCTGACATCTACCTCAATTATCCTTCCTTCATGAAAAAAAAATACCGACATCCATTTGTGTTCCGAACATTTGTAGGGTTAGACATTATTTTCCAGCGTGCAATGTATGTGCGTCGGGTTGATTTAGGGATACCGCTAATTAAAATCCACCTTCAAGTCAGCTAACACTATCATACTGCGTAACAATCATCGATCGATATCTTCACGAACTGTCTCGTCTATTCGCAATTCGTTTAAGCTGCACCATTTTCCAACTTATTTCCCGATATCCGTATCTCGATCTGTATGCATCGTGTGCATTGTCTTGAGACATATTTAATTTAGACCTGCTTTCTCAGGACGTATCTTAATCTGAGATAAATAACTTCCGCATTTATCGAAGTCACATATTATCTTGCTGGAATCAATGATGAGAGGCCATACGATTCTCCTGAACAAATCGTGTCTTGCTTCAGAAGCTCACAGCGCTGGGCGGGAGGTGGCTGTTGCCTTTATGGTTGTTCATCTTTAAACTGTTCCCATATCCATTCCGTCATCACGTATATATGTGCGGTTGTTGCAGAACCTGATGAAGAACCTGGACGACGCGAGTGACGAGCTGCTGATGGTGGATGACGAGGAGGAGCCGGTGCCGTTCATGGTGGCGGACGTCTTCTTCCACACACCGCTCGAGGAGACCAAGGTAGGGACAGAGGAGATGGGAGATAGGGGAAGATAGCGTCTCCTTCCCCACGCCGCTCGAGGAGACCAAGGTAAAATAGGCAAATCGGGGACATGGGATGGGGAAGATAACGTCTTCTTCGACACGACGCTTGAAGAGACCAAGGTGGAGTAGGAGGGATAGGGGGAAATATTATCTTCTTCCACACCCCGCTCGAGGAAACCAAGGTAGATAAGGGAAATAAAGGAGGATAAGGATTAAGGGGAAATGACGTCTTCTTCCACACCCCGCTCGAGGAAACCAAGGTAGATAAGGGAAATAAAGGAGGATAAGGGGAAATGACGTCTTCTTCCACACGCCTCTCGAGGAAACCAAGGTAGACAAGGGTGAAGGTGTTCCTATAGAGAAATATCGATGGGGAAGGTAACATCTTCTTCCACACGTCGCTCGATGAGACGAAGGTAGATTAGAGAGATGAGGATAAGGGGAGATGTCTGCTTCCATACGCCGCTCGAGGAGACCAAAATAGAACACGGGGATAGGGGGAGAATGTGACGTCTTTTTCCACACGCCGCTCGAGCTCAAGGTAGATACTAGATAGGGAGTATATGTAGAATAGAAGGAGATGACGTCTTTTTCCACACGCCGCTCGAAGAGACCAAGGTAGATAAGTTAGAAAGGCTGGGGTACAGGTGCGTGGGAAATGACGGTTTCGTCCGTACTACTCGAGGAGACCAAGATAGGGACAGGGGAGATAGGGGGAGAATATGACGTCTTCTTCCATACGCCGCTCGAGGAGACCAAGATAGGGACAGAAGAAGGGCGAGAACTCCAAGGTGAAGCGGAAATATGCAAGGGTGAAAAAAACGATGGAAATCATGGCAGCAGGATCAGACAGACGGAAGGCAGGGAGATAAGGACTATTGGTCAATTGCATATATTTCGTCAAAAGGAAATAAAAAACGTGGAAAATTTGACGAAATTATGAAATGTCATCAATTTAAAGGAAATAGTTCACTTTTAACATGGGGTTTGGAACTGGAATAGCAGTTGTGTTGCTTGCGCTGAGACTAGCACAAATCAGAAGCTTTACGGCCCAATGATCACCCTAGACGAAGATATTCCATTTTTCGTTCCGAAAAGAGTGCCTTGCAGAGGAATGCGTGCCTTGCTGAGGAATGCAGTCACGTCATCGTCAGCCAATCAGAATGCTGCTTACAGCCGATGGGTTTGTCCTACGCAATATGATTGGTCAACGCGTAATAAGCTTCCGCGTCAAACATTATTTTATATAGAATATAGTTCTTCTTATACTAAAATATAGAAAATAATCCTTTTTACAAAAACGTTTTGTTTTATTTTCTGATCATTTTGAGCATAACAAAACATAAATCCATAGCAAAATACTAATTTCAGGAAAGTGAACTATTTCCTTTAAACAAAAACGCATTTTATCGTTTCATAAAAATAAAACAAAGTTGACATTTAAACTTATCAGTTGCAGTTTTGCATTTATGCCCACCTTCCCACTGTGACATTCCTATGCATTGCACGGTCGAGCGAGATACCCACCTCCACTTCGTGACACCCTCGTCCCTCACGTGCTTCTCAGGCGAAGCTGGAGACGCTGAAGGACGAGCTGACACGGCAGATGGAGGAGCTGAACAGCAAGGGCAGCCGCTTCAAGGAGGAGATGGCGTTGCTGAAGCGCGACCTCTACGCCAAGTTCGGCGACAACATCAACCTGGAGCCGGACGAAGACTAGGCGTCAATCGAGCTGTCATCCGCGGGTGGGGTTAGGGTGATCCACTGAGACTGTGTGTGGGATGAGCGCAGGCGTGACCGAGTGGCAGTGTTCGTGTCCAGTAATCATTGCCGTCTGTGTGAGACTGGACTGGACTGTCTAACCGCTCAGAGTTTGTAATGAGAGCTGCTCTGTCGGAAGCTGCCTGGGAGTGCGTTTGTGCGCCGTTTGTGCGTTTGTGAAAGGTTCAGTTGGTGTGTATTTGAAAGGTTCAGTTGACTCTAACATGTGGTTAACATATGGTCATTGTTTGGATAACACGTGTATGCGATGGTGGTCGATACAGCATCAAATTGTCATAAAAAAATAATAGCTTTCAGGCATTGGGGAGTCTGTTACAGATTTTATAACTCTTTGTTGACCATTTGACGTAGTTCTCTGCGAGTTTTGTTGGTTGAGTTTCCGTTGCGCTTAATTTCTTACCAGTCATTTAACATCCGCCACCTCACTATATGTCCTCACGGTACTCGTGGCACGTACCAGTGTCCATTTTGCCGACTTTGTTGTGACGCTCGCGTAAATTATGCTGTCTGTGGATTTGTAACATATTGATAAAGGTAAACTAATTTGACAAGTCGTTTGCAGTTTGCAGTAAGCTGATCCGACGAAACTCAAATTTAGGGTTATTTATTGGGGCACTAGTGAACATATTCATGTACTGAACGTAGTCAAGTATCAATATGCCTTGTATGACCGCCATAATGGCATTACTACATTTCTTTTGGGGCTGTTTGTTCTGAAGCGTGAGGTGGATATACATTACATTTTAGAAACAGCCTTATCCACGGCTAGTATATAAACCATCTCATCTAACCATTGCTTGGAGCGATTTGTCACTAGATTCATTTTGTAGACAAGAGTAGAGTAGATGTAACACTTTTCTTCTTTTTCTTCTTTATTGGGTTAGGCCCTTTCGGTCTAATGAGACCATTTCAGAGCCGGGAGGATGATAGGAATTAGGGGGAGACATTGGTCTGGGCAGGCACCCTAGTGAGTCGCCGGGGCTGAGCCGTCCAGAGGACAGGCCACCCAGCCCCAAGGCACTCACTGCACCCGGCTACGGGGTGCGCTCCCTCGGGAGCAGCGGTGCCGCTCCAAGGGAGCAGCCGGCATGAGATGAAGTTGCCTGTCCAGCCCGGAGGGGGGTTGCGGCGTGGAGAAGGATTTCAGTATCCTGAGGATATATGCACGGAACGGTATAACACTTTTTATACGAGATGGGCATCAAGATTCCTTTGCAGGAGGTGTAGGCATGGAAGGCTCGACTTCGCGCTGAGGATGACGGGGAATGGACGCCAGACGTTCGGATAATCCGCCTTCGAAAGTGCAATTGTACCATTCAATGAACGAAAAAATACGCTCTATTGGCATTCGGTAATTTCGCAGATTGCTCATTTCCTCCATACCATTTTGAGATAATGAGCTCCGGCAAGATTACTTTACTACTCAGCTCCGGAGCGGATGAAGAGTTTCCTTTTACTGGCAGCATCTGGTAGCACTACCGTGATACGAAAATAACGCCGCCGCCGCCGCCGGGGCGCTGCTTGCGGTGATTGCACGGTGATTGACAAAAAAGCACACGGGGCGCTGTTGTGAGCGTGGTTCCGTGTTATATTTAGAGGGGTTTTACGTTGTTATAGGCGTAGCCCCAAGAAAAACTTATACGGAGAAGAAGAGAGTCTTTCAAGAGGGTACGTATTCATAAAGTTGTGGTAACGTGGTACAGCACAGCTTCGAGTTCCATGCATTCAAAGATCGCTTTGTTTTGCTCCGGTTGGATTGCAATGGCGGCTCTGTCGTGGTCCTAGACCTTGGTATTGTTATAAACTAGGTATTGGGCAAGGGTCTGCTGATTTTTCTGAAAGACGATTCTTCATTCAAGCTTGGTGCACATTTTCAGCGTTCTTGAAATGCATTAGTCACCAATTATAAGCGTGTGTGACGAATATGACGCATTCACATGTTTCTTTTGATCCTCTGGCTTGAATCCTAACTTACAACATTTCAGTGGCACCTGAGTAATATATTTATTCATAAAATATTTTCAGATAGTTCTTATTCATGCTTGATTTGTTGGCATATAACTTAGGTACCTAGTTTGGCTGCACTGGCACTCAGAATGCTTCCTCCGAATCTTGCTGAAAACTGTCTATTTTATCTGGTTAGGATCTTTCTGTACTTAGAGTAAGACTATTGAAATTCAAAGAGTAGGAAGGATAATAGCTGCCAGGGAATGGCATTTGCATGGGAATGCACTATCGCGCTTATTATTGCACTGCCGAGCCGAGGCAGAACTGTCCAGCTTGGAAGAGGGCTTTAGAGGTGTGGAGAAGGACTCAGGCTTTCTGAGTCCTTAGGATGTTACAGAGGCATTAGAAGATATTATTGAAAAGTGTCATTAATCGTAATCATTTAATCTAGCAAAAATTTAGTTGTAGTTATTAAGTTAAGACAAAATTTCCCATTTAGTCATTATGAAAATTCATGTCATTTATTTTTCTACAGATAGGTATAGCTCAAAAAAGGAATGAGCAGATTGATATAGCCAGAGCCCATGCTAAGCAGCCCTTTTTGAATAGGCCTTGATCCCTACAGTCTGATTGTGCAATTCTGGATAACAAGATAATTTGGACGGCAAAGTAAGATTCAAAGCAGGACACTGCCTGTCCTAATCAATTGATTTCAGCTAGCTGTGGCTACTCCCACCAACTGCAGACCATCCTTGTCGAGGGGTCTGATATCAGGTGCCGGAGTGACTTGAGTGTAATGTGAATGTGACAAGTGACTCACCACCAGGAGTCCAATGCTCTACCTAGTGAATCACTGGACAATCAATTTCCATTTTCAATGAAAAATTATCTTATAGTATCATCAGATCACCAGTGTATTTTGTCTTGCAGCTTTTTGGCTTTTGTACCTATGCAATGACAAGCTGCATGTCTCTTTCTGTCAAAATATACCTCTATTATATTTGTTTTTTGTGCTTTTTCATAGCATGATGGTGGAAATTAAAATAATTAATAATGCTCATGATGTTCAGTTTTTAGATTTAGTGCTATATTGTATTTGTGTCAGTACACACTTTTCATAGAGAATGCTTGCCATATCAGGACCAGTTGTGAGTTGTGTCACAGATAATTCACAGAATGTGAAGTAAGATTATTTACAGTCAATTTAGGCAGAACATTTTGTTATTTGAAAATTTAAGAAGACCACTTTCACAAAGTGTAATGCTATGGGGTGTGCTGTGTGGTTACTGGTTGACTGGAAATGGATACAATGGTAATGATGATGTCGACAGTTTCCAGCAAGAACATCATAAGTGTCAAATTTTCGAAATTGATATTTTGTAGGTACCATTCGACGCAGCTCATCGAGCTGAATAGAATTGTTGATGTGTATAATTTTCTATGAATCATGCCATACCATACCCAGATATTTTTTGCCATTCTTACTAGTACTACCCATATCTATTAATTTTGTTTTACAGAGGATGTCGTCGAACGCGGCCTCCGGGGCCGGATCTAGCGCGAGCGAGTCCAATGGGAGTAGCCAAGGAAGCCAGCAGACCGACAACAAGAGTGAGGAGAAGCACAACAAGACCTTGACCCCCAAGGCCTCAAAGTCACTCAGCACCAGCGCCAAAAGGTAATTAGTTATGCGGTCCTACTGCACTCTAACTGAACAGGAAGGTTTGAGTGTGGCTTTAGGCCAAACGAAAATATATGAATTAATGATGATTCTGAGGCACTGAGATGTATCATTTTTATGATACCTAATTAGTGCATTGGTTGGCATTGAGATGATTCCCTGATTCATGCATTCATTCATTCATCCATCAATGCATTCATACATTCATTCATTGCCTGCTTACACATTAATATTGCCCTGATTTTGTAGCTGACTGTGATTTTATATTTCTCGCTCTGTGGACTATGCATGTTGTGATTGCTGCACTTAATCATTTGTGTTTTGTTTGGTGCTTTCGCTCAATCATATCATGGTCCTTTGCCTCAGCCTGTTTTGAAATGCTGACGTCCTGTGCCCTAATTCATTGCCCCACTGAATGTTATTCCTTGTTGCTCGCACAGGATTCAGAAGGAGCTGGCGGAGATTACACTGGACCCGCCGCCCAACTGTAGTGCAGGGCCCAAGGGCGACAACCTGTACGAATGGGTGTCCACCATCCTGGGGCCGCCGGGCTCTGTGTACGAGGGAGGCGTCTTCTTCCTCGACATTCACTTCTCGTCAGAGTACCCCTTCAAACCGCCAAAGGTGCGCCGATAGCCTTCTGGAGACGGGGATTTCGGTTCTGACTTCTGAGTGATTGTGAACCCTGGGGATGCTAGTTCTGTTTGAATAAGTCGGCATCAATTCGGATAAGTGACTCGTCTCATCAAAACACATGACGTGATGCAACTCATCTCATCAAAATACATGCCACGATGCTTTTTATACGAGTATGGACACATTTATGCCAGTGATTATTGATTGGTATGTATGCGACTCTGTTTGCGGTTGAAGAAGAGAGGCCATCAAGGCTGAACTTCACTAATCCAGTGTTCCTTGCAACTGACCGTGGTGCCGTCTCTCAGGTCACATTCAAGACGCGCATCTACCACTGCAACATCAACAGTCAGGGCGTCATCTGCTTGGACATCCTGAAGGACAACTGGTCGCCAGCGCTGACCATCTCCAAGGTGCTGCTTTCCATCTGCTCGCTGCTGACCGACTGCAATCCAGGTACGGTGTGCCGCCAGGCGGGGCGATCGGCGAGGGGTGGGATCAGTGTGTGGGTATTGTGGAGTAGGCGCCACAGAGCACAGTGTGACTGTGAGGATGTTGGCTGGGGGGGGGGGAAGGGGAGGGAGGAGAGGTGTGTGCTTTGTACGGAAAGCATGGCTTTTTAATGGACTTAGGCAAGTTGATTTTAGTGTTACGTGCGAATTCATTTATGGAATATCGAAATCGTTCAACTGGACGCCAATTTACGCCGTCGTGATGATATTGATAGTGGAACAAATGGTTGGACAAATGGTTCATTGTTGTGAGACTGAAGGAACTTGGAAGCTATTCCATTGTTTACACCAGGATTTAGCACTCTCAGCTTATCTGTGACAGTTTTTGCCGTCACAACACGGCTATGTTGGACGTCCGTGACATTTACCCCTCCCCCGCTGCCCTTGATGGGCATCTGAGTGGGAATTCACTGGAGAGAAGAGCTGATAAAGAGAAGCTCATTTCCAGCTATGCTCGCATTCGTCAAGGTCGGCAGCTGGGCAGCCGACCGGTAATTTGACATATACCCCTCCCCGGTGACCCACTAATCAGAATATCACCTGTCGAGCCAGGCGTCCCACGGGTACCCTCCCCCTGTTCCCCCACCTCACTAGTGTTACTGGGAAAGGGACGGAGGAACATCGACTGTGTCCGTCCACTGACAGCCGAGTGGCCCCACTGTCGGTCCAGCTCAGCATCGGAGCCCCCCCCCCCTCCCGACGGCTGACGTCTCTGGCCACGTCCCCAGTCCGGGGGGGGGGGGGTGTTCAGTACGTTATGTTCGGTGTCGTC